GTCTGTTTCTTTGCCAGTACCATGCTGTTTTTATCACAGTAGCTTTGTAGTAGAAGTAAGGCCGTACTCTTAAGTGAAATAAATAGGATACACATGTGTAAAAACCTAATAGTTTCTCTGGTGTGAGAAACTGAAAGTGTAAATGAGGACAAAATGTATAATAGGTAATGTGAAATAGGAAGAAAGGGTCCAAAGGGGAAGGGGAAAGGAAATTGGGGGCGGGGGGGATAAGGGAAAAGAAAGAAGGGAAAGGAAAAATTATGAGAGAAGGAAAAATAAAAAACAAAGTCCTTTTAAATGGGGGGGGAGGTGAAGGGAGGGCAGGAGAATGGGGAAAAAGTAAGAACCAAGATACATCATGTAAAGGTACAAATTCCCAATGAATGTCATCATATTGTATACCTAAAATGTACCAATAAACCTAAGGAATTTTTAAATTTTCCTTCAGAAGTACCTTTATGCAGCCAAATTTTGTAACCACTGATCTAGTCTAGACTTTATAAGGAGGTTTGTCTACAACATTCTTATAGATGGTGACATCTAAGTCTAAATACTCCCAAGTGTCTGTATCGTTGTTGGAAACTTTCTCTAGAAAGAACACCCATTCAATTTATATCATTTTCTATATATACTTAATGTAGCTCCTTGTGGGGGGGAATTGATTTTCTCTGAGCCTTGTTTTCTGATTTTCTAATATAATTAATCTGAGGTGGGACCTGGGTATAAGTATGTTTAAAGATTTCCCAGATGATTTAGCAGGGTTGATAACCATTCCTTCAGGAAAGCCCCTCAGACTTCCCACTTCTCAGTTCTTGTTTGGGATCTCTGAACTCCTTTGAGAGAGCCCAAATCATGACTCCTAGCCGGACTTTCTATCGCTTCCTGCAGTGTTCTTCACCACACTGTCAATGTCCTTTCCTGTGTTGTCCTTTGAGGCTACTACTGTGCATGATAGTTTCTGAGTATGTTTTATAATGGAACCATTTTCACTTATTGAATGTATTCTTGGATTGAGAAATTATTCATAGTTTTTGGTTTTATAAGCCCAAAATGATGTTAAGTTTCTATGTGGTTCTGTTCTGTCTAAAATAATCATCTTTAATTATAGCCTATTAATGAGACTTCTGGGACAGATGGTACGCTTTGAGCGGACAAGGACTGTCACTATTCATTACTGCTTCCTAGTTCCTAGTACTTGACTGACATACGGAGGGACCAAATAACTTACTGTGGAATGGACAATTTAATGAAAGAGTAAATCCCTTAATAAATGCATAAAATCCTATGTGTTTATGATCTTGTTCATGGAAAGTGAGCATACTTTCAAATTATCAAAGTGCAGCCTCCTTGAGATGGTGTGCATTGTGTGCATGACATCCATGAGGAATCCTTCCTGTGTCTGCACGTGTGCGTGGGATGTGCATACATTTGAGTTCACAATTACTCTCTGCATCTGTAAGAAGATCCAAAAGTTGCTGAGTGCTTGAACGGATCCCCTGGGTTCTCCATTCAGCACAGCTGCGAGCTCTGCTCTCCGTAGTGATAGTCCTGGGAAATATGGTATTAATACTAAGCAAACAGATGGCACAGGGTGTGTTACTTAAGACAGTTTTGCCAGGAGGTAAATTTATGCTTTATAAATGTACTTCAAAACTATGCTATTTGATTTAATCACTTAATGCAAAGACAGCTGCATACTATATTTGCCTTAACGGCAGTTATATGGGTTATCTGCCAATCTGTTAATTACAGTATTTTGAAAGACTTCAGGAAAAAAAACAGTAATTATACAGATTGGGGTGAGGGGAGGAACATTTTTGAAGCCTAAATTCAGACGTTCATTCCAAGCTAACATAAACTTATTGAAGATTTAGAAAACCTGTTAAGAAAGTGGGAGTAGATGCAATGGCTTTTTTTCCAAGAGGCTTCTGCGTGTGTTCCCACTCTGGCTCAGTTGCTGGAGTAACTACCTGCAGGAGGGAGCCAAACAGTGTTCCGGCACACAAAGCTCAGCCTCCCCAGGAAGGTCTTCTACAACTGCTCAATTTCTCAAAATTAAAAGAGGTATATGTTCAAACATGCCTTTGACTTTCTCATATTTCTTATGTACCCTGCTTGGTCCCTGAGCCCTCTGTACATAAGATTTCTCTGCTAAACAGCAGTAATTATTAAGCAGATTTAATTAATACTGTATTAGGAAAGGGGAATACATTAAGGTTAGTCTGACAGCTTCCTTTTCTTGCCAAAGACTAAATGCTACCTACTTGTAGGAAAAGTCTTGCCCATTTCCTCTACCCCCTGGGAATTTATGTTCAATGAATTTCATTGTCATTTTAAAAATGTCTGTGACAATACCAGGATAAAAGGCTCCAGGCTGTTAATCAAAGAACTCTAGAAAGAACATTACAGATTATCTGGTCAAAGTCTTCGTTTAACCTGTGAAAAACTAAGAACTTGAATTCTTAAATGATTTGCCTTCCCAAATTAGTTAAGAAAAAGAAGAAAAAGTGGAAACTTTAACCAATGACCTTCTTCTATCCAACCTATGTCTTTTCACATGCATCACACTGCCTGTGAAGGCTATCACAAGATGGAAATGAAACAGAAGGGCCAATGAGTTTCCTTTCTGGTGCTAGTCCAATATATAACTGGCTAGAGCTGCCAGTGCTAAAGACCAGTGAGAATACCAATGACCTCAGCCTTACTCAGGGACTGCACAGGGCCTCCACTTCCCACAGCATCCAGTGCCCTCCATGTTGGGAATAGTGCCCTGGGGTTGAGCATCACACCCTGAATGGTCATAAGCTGCCCACTATGTGCTAGGCACTGCATCAGGTACTTTCCAAAAATCATCTCAATTAAAACCTCTAGCAGTCTGTGATGCAGACATCATTTCAGACATTTTACAGAGAGGGCAACTAGTTTCCAGAGGTCAAGTAATTTCCTTGAATTTACACAATTAATTTCAAATAGAGTACCACATTCAGACTTGGACTTACAGAATCAAAAGATGCTGACTTGCTAAGAGAATACTTTGTTTCATTGCATTGTTTTTTTCAAAACTTACTAAAACACTTGTGGCTCCATACTCCAAGGCAATCTTCTACATGGAAATTCATCTGAAGAATATCTCATCTTCATAGCAGGCTTCACACCATGTTCAACAAATCTCAGCTGATGAACTGAACTTTGTGGCCCAGGTCCTGGGAACAACAACCCTGTCCCCACTTCCTTCTTCACAGGAAGTGGCCATTCCCAGTGCTCTGGGGACTCTGACACAGAGATGCTCATCTGTCCTACAGGAGTAACTAACTTCTGTCTGAGCCAGCAAGAGAGGGTAACGCTAAAGTTGGCAAGTAGAAGAGGAGTTAGAGAAACAGGTTTGGCTTTTGATCCTTCTCAAGTAATACTTAGGTGATTATTATACCAAATCGATGGAGGGTTTGGGAAGTACTCACATCTTCGGTGGTCCTTAGTATTTCCATTTCTTGATACTGATGCAATTAAAAAATATAGTGGATATCAGAACATTTTTTTGCAAAATATTTATAATTAAAGACATTGCTATGAATCTCCCTCAAAATACTCCCCCTCACTTTGAACATTCTTTGCCATCAATTTTGCCACTTTCTGAAGCAGTTCTGGAAGTCCTCTTTCATACATTTAGTTGCATTGTTTTGGTTGTCTCCTGTCCTGAATTGATTCAAACCATTTACTTTTCATGGTCATTTTGACTTTGGGGAAGATTCAGAAGTTGCATGGTGCCAGATCTGGTGAATAAGGTGGGTGAGGATGCACTGTCATGTTTTATGAACATGCCCTTTTATTGGATGGCACCAGGCAGCATTCGCCTCCTAAAGAGACTCATAAAAAAGTATTTCCAGAACTGCTTCAGAAAGTTGCCAGAAGAATGAAATAAGTGTGTTCAAAGTGAGACAGAATATTTTAAGAGAGGTCAATGGCAATGCGTCTTTTATTCTAATACATTTTTAAATTTGAATAGTCACCATATATTAGATAATCATCAGGACAAAGGCCATGTCTGAGTCCTTGTATCTCTGTGCTAATGATTTTTATACAACAAAGTGTTTTAGTCTTAAATGCATGTCTACTTTTGATCATAATTTTCATATGTTATGGCAATATTTTGAATCAGTATTCTTTGGCTAGTAGTTTTTATTTGTTTTATTGGATATTTTTTGTTTCTTTTCTGCCATTTTATAGTACTCCTAATTTTTTTAAATGCATTAGTTATCTTTGAAAGAACCTGGTTTATCCTCTACAAGTGAATTAAAGAATTTTCATTCATGCCTTAGAAGCCAGTGTTCCAACATGGGAAGAATTTTTTCTGGTTTATATTGAAGTTCTTTATGGCACAGGGTTGAGTGTGTGTGTGTGTGTGTGTGTGTGTGTATGTGTGTGTGTGTATCTGTGTGTGTGCATGCACACATACTCCTTTATGGTGTACAACAGCTTTCAAAGAAGATTTGTCAAAGCCCAATTACTGTTTTCTGATGTTCAAAAGAAGGCTTTGCTCCTAGGAGTCATGTCAGTTCTGGGGAATTCCAGCTATTTAGTGTTTCACAGCCCCACATGAAAATCTAAGTGTCTCCCAGCATCCTCATTTAACCAGGACTGCATTTGGTAATCCTTTCTTCCACAAAGTGATTTAGAATTTCTTTAAAAAAAAAACTCTACTGTCATCAAAGAAAAATCTCCATCTGCCTGCGATTATCCTTGTTTCTGAAGAGTGATTTATGAAAAGGAGGATAGCCAACTTTATCCCACCATCTAACTAGTAGAAAGCTCTCTGTATACATTATTTCTTTCTTTTATTTCATTTACAAAAATGGACTAATTTTGTTGCTGTGTTTTGTTGTTGTGTTTTCTGTTGCTGTGACAAAACACCTGAGGAAAACAGTTGAAGGAGAAAAGGTTTACTTGACTCACATGTTCAGATTTCAGTCCATAGCCAACTGATCCCATTGCTTTGAGACCTGTGGTGAAGCAGAAACATCATGGCAGGAGGGTATGGTAGAGGAGTGGTTCATTCACAGCAGCCAGGAAGCAGAGGGCAAAAGAGAGAGCTGGAGACAAATGGAACAGAGCAAGTTACACTCCCCAAGGTCTCACCTTCCTGGCCATTCCCCTAAAATAGGCCTCACCTCCTCTGACTTCATCACTTTTCAATAATGTTATCAAATTATTAATCCATTAGTGGATTAACCGAGGAAGTTAGAGTACTCATGATCCAATCGCCTTTGAAAAGCCCTGCCTTTGATCATATGAGCCTTTAGGGGGACATTTTATAGTCATGATAGTTATTTTTAAAAGGTGAGATGAAACATCCCATCCACTCATATAAACTCAGTTGAACTTTGATAAATACAGAAAGGCAATTTAATAAAGAAAGGATAGTGTTTAACAAATAGAACCAGAACAACTGGACATCCATATGAGAAAATATGGAATTAGGCAGAAACTTTATACCTTTCCCAAAAATAAATTCAAAATAATCCTAACTGTAAAAGGCAAAACCATGAAACTTTTAGAAAATAACACAGAAGACCATTTTGGTGAGTTTCTCAATGTATATTCAGATATAACACAAAAGATTTGAGAAAACCCAAGAAAGAAATGAATAAAATGGGCTTTGATAAAAAATTAAAATTCTGCTTTGTGAAAGACAATACTAAGAGAATGGAAAAACAAGCCACAGACTGGAAGAAAATATTTGTACAATATATACCTGATAAATGATTTTTATCTAGAATATGCTAAAAACATTTAAAATACAACAATAAAAAAATCGAAATACTCAATTTCAAAATGTGCAAAAGGTCTTAGTAATGAAGAGATACAAGTGGCAAATCAACAAGTAAAAAATTCCAACATCACATGTCATTAGGGGAACTGCATTTAAAGTAACAATGATTGGGGCTGGGAATTTAGCTCAGTGGCACCATGCCTGCCTTGCCAGCTTAAGGTCCTGAGTTCGATCCCTGGTACCAAAAAAAAAAGTAACAATGATTTACCAATACTCACCTATTAGAATCATGAAAATTCAAAGGACTGACACCACCAAGTGCTGACAAGCATACAGAGCAGCAGGAATCTTCTACTTCCAGCAGGAAAGCAGCAGGCATCACCACTTTGAGAGAAAGTGTGGCAATTTCTTACAAAACCGAGATACTCTTACACTTAATCCATAACTCACATGTCTAGGTATTTATTCAGTTGAGAAAAGCCTGCACATAGTGTTTAGCAGTTTTATTTGTAATTGCCAAAAACTGAAAGCAACCAAAATATCCTTCAATGAGTGAATAGGTAAACAAACCAAAAACACAGGAACCTTATAACACCTATAAGTGAAAGAAGACAGTCTGGAAAGGCCATATTCTGCACGATTCCAATCCTATGACATTCCTGCAAAAAGCAAAACTACAAAAAAGTAATTTCTAGGGTGATGAAACTATTAGTTATGATGCCACATTATAGATAAGTGGCATTATGAATTTATTAAACCCACGAGACTATCCAACAGAAAAAGTGAACTTGTGAAGGTCTGTGGTCCAAGAACTGAACCCAGGGCCTTTGTGCTATGGTTCAATACCAGTAATTTCTTTTGTTTGTTTTTATTTCTTTTTACTTAGAGTGTTGCTAAGTCTCTAAATTGGCCCGGCTGGGTTTGAACTTGTGATCCTTCTACCTCTCTTTTACAAAGTGCTGGCATTATAGGCATATGTCACCCTAATATAAACTATGAGATTTGGGTTATTATATCAATATTAGTTCATTAATTATAACAAGTATACCACATAATGCAATATATTAACAATAGAGAGAACTGCATAGCATTGAGAAAGGCTTACATGGAAACAGACCATGTACTCAAAATAATAGAATTTGAAGAGCATATTTATCTCCAGAGGCCAGAGATTTGGTGATGTTATCATTCATGAAATTTTTTGCAAACTCCTTTTTCAGACCACTTTTAAAGAATGTAGTCCATTTTTTAATGCATTTTTTGAGTTTATGAAACCACCAAAAGTCATTAAGATGTAAACAGTGATGAATTTTTTTATAAACCTAGGAAATACAGGAAATATAATTTTGGCTTTAAAAAATAAATAAAATCAAAGTGCTTATGGTAGTGAACACTGTGAAGGATAGATTCCAAATAGGTTATGATAAATAGCAATATTATTTGCATGTTGCATGGTTTTCCAACGTAACTGTTGTCAAATATTACCTTTTTTAGATGACAAATAGTGATTGTTAATAAAATCTATCATAAATATTAACCTACTCCTTTATCCACACAAATAAGGAATATAGAAGGAAAGAATGGGAAAAAGGTAAGGGGTTGAGAATCAGTGTATTAGCAGGAGAGATAAAGACTCAAGAGAAAAAATGTGGGTGTATAGTGGAAATAAAGAAAGGGAAGTAGTATGTTTATTCATAAGGTGTTTAATACCTGATTAAATAACACTATCTCTAGATTAACATTAAATTTATAATCCGCCTTATTTTCTCACAGAACAAAAATTATAAGATTATGATAAAATGAATTGTGGGTGTAACATAACTTGGGGGTACTGCTTCCCTCTGTGTAACGTGCCTTGGGACAAGCTTACACATTCTTTGTTCACAGAAACTTCCCTTTAGCCAGACTGCTCACAGAGAGCCATGCCTTCTGTACTTTAAATTGCTCTAAAGTGCCCAGCAAATCTTTATACAGAAAAACTCCATATAAATGATTGAGAAATGGATTAGTAGAACAAAGGGGGTGAGGCAGGGTGTGCCTGCTGCCTGAGGAGATATAGAACACAAGCTAGGGCAGAGTTGAGGATGAAGCTGCTAACTGCGAAATTTGGTCTCTATGCCCAGGAATAGTAGAAAGAACGTCCCTGAGAAGAACAATACACCTTTTGAAGAAAGAGAAAGGCTTTTGGCCTTGGAAGCCTGTGAGCATGTGGTGCTCAGTGGTCCAAAGAACATCCCTTAACCTAGTTGTATCCCATGAGTTATTCAGTATTACGTCAGGATTCTTGTGAAGTACGGAGACCATGGTTCCTTTTTGATACTTTCTCTCATTACCTGTTTATTTCTTCTCTCTTATTTCCCCAGCTAGATAATACATTTCTTAGTATATACTGTGTCTTTTATATGCTTGTAAACACCATACTGTCTTGACCATAGTATAAGCTGGAAAATGTTTAATTTTTAAATTATTTTTCAAACTTCACCTACATTTTCTTTACCTATAGGTATTCAAAAGGATACATAGTACAGCTTGTAAATATGTTGGGTTTGTCCTTTCCTTTTTTTTTTTTTTTTTGGTACCGGGGATCAAACTTGAGACCTTGCGCTTGTGAGGCAGGTGCCAGAACCACTGAGCTAAATCCTCGGCTGTCCTTTCCTTCTTGAATGTATTATATCATCTTAAATTCTTTTTAAAACTATGTCTCAAAACAAACATTATTTCCTCTCTCTTGCCATTTTCCCACAGAGATTACAAATCCTCTCACATTAACATCATCTATATTCACAGTACATTTCAGATACATGCTCAAGGATATATGAAGATGGATGGTATAATATGTAATCATGTGGAATTTTTAGGACTTGTATATATTCTAAACGAATAATTAGGTGTACTTTTATATTAGCAGTGATTCGTATTTTGACTTAGGTTTGAATACATCCAGAAAAAAAACCCCAAAATTTAACAAATACGTGAAAGTCTTTTTATAAAACCATTGCCCTTCCACACTACAATGCACACATAAACTCTTAAGAATCAACTTCTGGTTGTAGGCTCTCCACTTCTGACCATTTTAAAGTGTTCTCATCCACTTTATTCACTGGATCTGACACCATGTTACTCTAGCTCTTCCCCAAGACAAAACGACCATGGCAGGTAAATGTTTTGAATGAATTCAGGACACTCAGCAGCTGTGACAGCGCAACTAAAGACACTCACAAAAAAGAACTTCCAGAACTGCTTTAAGAAGTGGCAAGAATGATGGGATCAGTGTGTTTGAAGTGAGGTGGTGTATTTAGAGGCACATCAATGACAATGTCTTTTACTGTATTTTTTAAATTTAAAGACCCCGTATTTTTGTATCATGCCTCATATAATAACCATCCTATGAGAACCACCAAGAAGTCACACGAGAACTACCTTAGTCTCACTTGCAGGCAGGGCCTCCAGTGACTGAAGGAACTCTCACTAAACCCTGCCTCTCAGAAGGTTCTGTCAGCCTCCAAACTGCTATCCTGGAAAAAAAACATCCAGCACAGAGCCCCTGGGGGTCAAACCACTCAAATCACGACAGTGTATATTAGACAGCCTCCCATCTCTGGAACACAGTACTAACACCCACAACTCAAAGGAAGAGATGTTTAACTCGGCTCATGCTCCAGGGTGTTATGTCTGTGTCCAGATAGCCCCTCAACGACTCATGTGGTCATAGGTGGAGCTTTTCAGAGGTAGCTGGATCTAGAGTGTGTGATGCTAGGGACAAGGGTGTGTGATTACTAAATTGGTCCACTGACTGGTTTGGCATTATTATGGGCATGGATAATGGGTAGGCCCACCCTGGGTCTCAGTGCTACCACCCTAAGGGCCTGTAGTCTGGATAGAACATAAAGGGCAGAAAGAGGGCTGCTGTCATCACTTGCTGCTTGTTTTTTCACTTGCTTCTGTGCTGCCTTCTGCTCACCAGAGACTCCTCCTCTGCAATGCCCCTCTACCGTACCACCTTGCCTTGAAGCCAGCAATTACGAACTAAAACCTCTGCAAACTGTAAGCTACAATAAACATTTCCTCCTTTAACTTTGGGTGTCAGGTATTTTGTCTCAGCAACAAGTACAGTAACTAAGACACAGGTGGTTCAGTACATGTTTTGCCTGATTCCAAGGCAGACTACCATGACAGAAAAGTGTGGTAGAGCAAAGCTACTTAGTTCATGTTGGCTGGGGAGCAGAGCAGGGAAAGCTCCCGAGAGGAAGAGGCCAGGGTCCAGATCTACAGTAGTACCCAACCAGGCCTCCCTGACCTCCAGACACAGCCAGAAGTGTGCTGTATTAGTCCTCTGGGGAGTTTCTAAGCCGATCCAGCTGATAATCCATCTTAACCATCACATTGTGCAAAACTACTTGAGGTTATAGAAGGAGTTACCTAAATGACTGAGGTAATGACATCTGAGACTTACTAGCTGTATGGAAAACTTTATGATTCATAGCTCATTGAGTAAAGTACACAGAAAGAATAGTTAAATCTAGAACAAGAACTGTTCCTGTACCACCAGACAGATCTTAAAATGTGAGAACTGAACAGATACCACCATCTCCAGGTAAAGTATGCCCCAGAACAGAGCTCAATAATATAGAGAGAAATACTACTACTAATAATAATATAATACAACTCCTCAAAAGGTAAAATTCACCATGTTCAACATCCAGTTAAAATTATCAGACAGAAAGAGCCAGAAAAATATAAGCCATGAAGAAGATATTAATTAATCAATAAAAACAACTCAGATCTGACATTGAGTTAAAAAAACTTCAAAAGACATCATACATAGAAAAATTTAATCACCTAATGTCAATGGTCTAACTGGAGCCACTGAGAAAAAGAAAAAATACAGTGAAAGTAAAAACTACTAGAAGAAATAATGGCCAAAGCATTATTGAAATTTGATGGAAACTATAACCTTGAAAATACCTGAAGCCCTAGCACAAGAAACATGAAAAAAATTGCTCACTACCAGTGGTAAACAAGAAAAGCAAGAGAACAAAAAAGACATTTTTTGCACACATGAACAAAGGTAAGGATAACAAGATCTCACAATGAACTGTTAAAGTAAAAAAAATCTGTAGAGTATGGAGAAAGAAAGAAAAGAAAGAAGAGGGGGGGAAGAAAGAAAGAAAGAAAGAAAGAAAGAAAGAAAGAAAGAGGGAGGGAGGAAGGAAAGAGAATGAAGGAACTGAAGGAAGGAGGGAGGGAGGGAAGAAAGGAAAGGAGAGAGAGGGAAAGAAGAGAAGGAAATGAAGGAAGGGTCTTTGTCAAACTAGAATTCTAGACCCAATAAAAATGCTTTTAAAAAATAAAAGCAAAATGGGCCGGGATTTAGCTCAGTGGCA